GATGCTCAGTGTCACTAATCATCAGGGAAATGCAAATCAAAACCACAATGAGATATCACCTCACATCTGTTAGGATGGCTATTATCAAAATAATAACAATAATTACCATTGTTGGTGAGGATGTGGAGAAATTTGAACCCTTGTTTACTGCTGATAAGAATGCAAAATGGTGCAGCTGCTATGAAAAACAGTAGAGGGGTTCTCAAAAAATTAAAAATAGAACTACCATATGATCCAGCAATCTCCCTTCTGGGTACAGATTCAAAAGAATTAAAATCAGGATTTCAAAGAGATATCTGCATTCTCGTGTTCATGGCAGCATTATTCACAATAGTCAAGATATGGAGACAACCTAAATGTACACTATGAATAAATGGATAAAGAAAATGTGGTATATAAATACAATGGAATAAAAAAATAAAAGCTTGCCATATGTGAGAACACAGATAAACCCGGGAGACATTATGCTAAGGGAAATAAGCTAGTCACAGAAGGACAAAAACTGCGTGATTCCACTCACATAAGGTACCTAAATAGTCAAACTCAGAAACAGAGTAAAATGGTGGCTACCTGGGCTGGGGTGAGGGAGAAATGTCATTCAATGGGTATCAAGTTTCAGTTATGCAAGATGAACAAGTTCTAGAACGCTGCTGTACAAACTTGTGCCTATAGTTAACGATACTCTATTATTCACTTAAAAATTGAACAGGGTAGACTCACGTTAAGTGTTCTCACCACAATAAAAAAATAGAAATCTTACTCATTACCAAAATGTTCATTGCAGAAATTTTGGATAGTTTAGAAGAATAGAAAGAAGGAAGTAAACATGGAAAATAACCCATAATTTACCACTCAGAGGTCAACATTCATTTTTATGTTATTTTCTTTTGGTCTTTTCTCTGTCTTTGTACACAAATATATTTAAAACATTTGTTGCAACCCTGAAGTTTAAACTTTATTTTCTTCCCCATAATATTACACAATGGTTTGTATCTGATATCCGATATTCCTCTATCATATAAAAAGTGAACTCAACCAAGGCCAATATGTAACACAAAATCATAGAACCTTGGAAAACAACCATAACCAACAAATTTTTTATGGTATTTGATTTCCATTGCTCTATGGATCATCGTATGTACTTATAGATGATCAAAAATGTTTGTTAAATGAATGTTGCATTTCAATGTTAAAAAAATAAAATAACAATAGGCTAAAGTATAAAAAAAAAATAAAGCTGATATTCCCAATTCTGTTTTGTTCTAATGAAAACTAAAAAGGTAGCAGAAGTTGAATTTGGCATGAACAGAGATTAAAAAGCTAAGTTTAAAATACTCTCTCTCTCTGGTCCCCCTCCACCATCTATAATAAAACCTTTACAACATCACCTGTACATAATATGCATATTTTGACTGATCTCCTGGTACAGTGTATACTTGAGAATATTTTTGACATTAGCTGTTATGTCTGGGTTAAGTTAGTGCAGGAAAGGCAAGTTCTTTTGTTTTAAGCAGTTTTGCCTCAGAAAATACACCACACAACAAGGATTTAAATCACTTTTTCCCTCCATAAATGGTGATAGTGATAGTAATGATGTTACTTGAGCATCCACAATGAATATAACGCACACAGGAGGTCCTTTAAAAATGTTAGTTGAATAAATTCTTGAAGGATGTTAGTTTTTTTTCCCCTCCTGGGTCAAGCTTCCTCACCTATTAAATGGCAGAAATAAGAATGTCCTAACGCTGAGGCAAAAATTCCAAGTGAGATAACATATATAATATGCTTAGCACACCGCCTGCCACATGCGTGCTTAAAATGTGAATCTCCTTCCTCTTTCTTTACCTTGTACACTGGTAATCACAATACCTAGCAACCTTACCTGAAAAATAACTGAAACCACAGAAGAATAACAAAATGGTTGTTCTAAGCAACCAAGTTTTGGAGTAATTTGTAACACAGTCATAGTAACCGGAACTAAGCCATGCAAAAACCGTCACAGTCAAATTGGGAATAAAATGCATATTTGAGGCCAATAAACAAAACATTTTGAGAACAGTCAGTGTGTTTAACATTTGGAATCCTGTGTGACTAAGATAATGGATATAAATACTCGTAGCAATAAAGAACAGGATTTATTATTATGCCAAAAGAAATATATGTATATATTTATTTCCAAATGATTATCATCGATGACCTACTAGCAATATTAATAATATTATGGCTGAATGTTTCAACGCTTTAAATCTATATCTCCAAATTACAGATGAATAAAAATGTGGTTTATTATTCAAGGTCACAAAAATCTCGGCAGAGCTGGGATTTAAACCCAGGTATTTCTTGACTCTAAATCTCTTATTTTTCACCACTGCCTTCTCCTTCCCTCCCTCCAGACATTTTCGTATTTAAAGGTAACAGTAAACAACTACAATTATAGACAGTTGACCCTACGTGGAAGCAGCTCAGGAATGAAAAATTAACTTTACTCCCTAGAAAAGAGAGATTAGGAATGACTTAATGATGAGGAATATGATAGTACACATGGGGATAGTTTTCTGTATTTCCTTGTGTGTGTGTGTGTGTGTGTGTGTCTCCTTAATTCATAAAAATTAAAGTTGAGGTTAGCTTAATAAAGCACTTCATTTTGGCGAGGGTTAACCCTTCGTCTTCTACACTGACATTTGAGCAATGATCTTCACTTCATGGTTTAAAAGAAAAGAAAAAAAGACAGATACTGATTTAACTGGTATAATTCTGCGTACGGATACCAATGACACATAATGTTCAGGGCTAAACGGTTATTAAGGCTCCTTTAATTTTAACAGAGACAGTAACAGTAGGTCCTATCTATGCAGCATTGATTATGTCACAGAAACTGGGCAAAAGACATTCCACGTATCTTATTGAATCCCTGAAACAAGCCTCTAACGTACGGTTCTACTATGCTTCTTCCTGTAGGTGAGAGATCCAGTACTCAAAAGAGCTAAGTCTTTTTCCCAGGGTCACCCGGCTAGGAAATAGTGGAGTTGGGATTATACGATGGTTTAATCTCTCCTTTCCTTATCTTAGTAAAGAAAACACAATAAAATCATACATGGGGATTACATATGGCCAATCAAAATAAATCTGTAATACTCTAAGTTGGTTTTTATTTCTTTATATGTAAGCTTTTTTAATTACAACTATTATACTCCTTTGAGAATATCATTGCTATTATAAATGTACAGTTCTAACATCCACCTAATACATAAATTTCCTATCTTTATAGGTTGGTAATTTTAAAATATATACATGGAAAAACATACAGTACAAACAAACCAAATGCAAATAAAAATCTTTTAAAAATCTTAGAAATTCTTTAAGCAGGTTATGTCCATCCTATTAAAAATGATTCTTCTATGTACAATACAGAATCTTTAAAAATACTACTCCAAGAAACAAAGACTCTTTGGTTCAGCAAAAGGATTCTAAATGTGGAAATTTAAAATGTAAAAATCTCGGTTAACTCTTCAGGAAGTATATAGCTGACTTTCTCCGAATGATGAAATTATGGGTGGGTACTAGGGAGAGGTTGCTTTTCACATAGAATGTTATTGTATGAAAACATAACCAGAGATTGAATAACGTCAGAACTTGGACATTATTTTTACTCTGCCAGATTAAAAAGATAAAGAAAAAGCTCTGTGTCCATCCACTTTGGAAAGAGGACACGGGTGTGATCATGGTCAGCACATGGAAACATTCAGCAGTAAATTTCTCAGAAGAAATTTGGGACTATCCTGTTTATTATTGGGAAGATTGCAAAGAAGAGACAGGAGGAGAGCAGTTGCTGGATGTTCCTTTTACTTCTAAAATCTTATCGCTTTTCTGGTGGCTTGCCTGCCTTAACAATCTAAAATTATAAACACATCCGTGACTCAAATGTCTTTAAAAAGAGCTATTAACTTAGCAGTGATTACAGTGCATCAACAATTGCCGATGGGATTTTCATTAAAAATTAATCGTGGTTATTCTATACTCTTTTGGTTTATTCATAGCAACAATCACAAAATTGGCCAAAATACCTCAGAGTTTCAAAAAGTCAGCAGCCTTGCTTATTAGAATTTATTCTCCTCTGTATTTAATGGGGAGGAAAAGCCTTCACAAGTATATTCCAGCATATTTTCTACTTTGGTTGTGAAAATATTTTAGCATATAAGGTGAAAGCTTTCCAAAGGCCCATCATTTAACTACACATTTTAACCACCTTTAGCAAGGTTTTTGAAAAGTCTTTGAGATATCGCAGCTGGTCATCAAAAAAAGAAAAATAATTTTTGCTTCATTTATTTTTTTTCTAAGTTCCCCAATAGAATATGATTACCTGGTTAGATTAAATGACTCATTTACTTTATGATGAAGTACCGCTAATACTCAAACTTGCCTTTCTCCAGACTAGTATCAGAAGCATGTTAGTATATTTCCAGGTTGAATGCTAGCGGAAGTCAAGAGCTTCTATCGATTACCATGATTCTGCAAATCGCCATTTTAAGATGCCACAATGCTTCTATGGAGTGGTTGAGAGCTGGGGAAAACTTCCAAAATTCACCCTGAACTTCCTTTCATTTGCATGACTTTAACTGATCAAGAGCAAGACCCTTTTTCCAAACCTTAGTCGTCTCAAAGGAGAAAAGTACAATCGGAATGGAGCAATAGATTGCAGAGAAAACTGTGCCTCTTCAACAAAAATGGTTCTGATTGTGGAAAGAGAAATGGGATAGCCTTCAACATTTGAGAAAAGCAAAGAATGAAATACATGGATAATTCACAGCATCTAAACGAGACATCGTAATTCAGGACCACCTCTGTACCATTCTCCTCTCACCCCTGTGCAGAGATTTCTTTTCCCTAATGGTCTTCCAAAAGATATCATGATATTCCGAAGAGAAAAATAATCAGCATTGGATTCTTGATCCTTATAGTCCTCTTCTGTAGCGTACAGGCAGTAATCATCTTTGCTTCCGTTAGAAGTCTTTATCCCAGCCCGATAGCTCATCCGGGGGAATTCCCTTTTCAGGAGGATACTTGTCAAAGTAGCTGTGATCTATGGGTCCACTGAGCTAATGTAGAAAGGATTAAAACAAAGGTAAGGATAACGTTGACTAAGCATGCTATCATACATGGGTAATGCCCGTAACATCTGAACACGAATTTCATACTGCAACCACTCGCAAGTTCCATATAAGAAAAACATGACCAATTATCATTAAGTCACAGTCTCAGCTCCTTTAGAACATGAATTTTGTCACTGGATTACATTCCATAGGAACTAGCTGGTATGAGGAGTTATTTCCTAACGGTGACAAATTATGTCGATTTTTTAATTGAAAAAAATATTTTAAAAGCACTTATTAAAAAAATCAAATTCTGCCAGTCTTCCTTCCACTTTATAAAAGTTTCTTACCAAACCTGGATTTTTATAGGGTTAATGGATCCTTATAAAGTATCCAGAATGCCAAAGGAGCAACTCAAAATATTAGTGACCCTGTTGAAAGGGTAAAAGGACTCTGGTATTAAATTATTTTGCAAATCAAATGGTTTCCAATACTGCTTTCAAAAAATGTCAGTAGTACATAATTGTATTACCAGCTAAAAGATCATTAAAAATACTATTTATGTTAGGTCATAGTGTCTTGGGGGACCCTGGGCAGAGATCATCCAAAAGGAGCTCAAAGTGACCGTGCTATCACGAATTAATTAATTAATTGCCATCTACATATGTAAACACAACTCTTAGCACTTGCGGGTATATAGTAACAATTTTAAAAATGGATAGAATTGATGCCAAATCTGATCCCGTTTTTTAAAAATAATATTTATCCATAGGTACATTAAATCATTTCTTCTCAAAAATTTTATTTTATAATTATCTTTAGAAATTTGTAATACAGTGATTTCATGTGACAAGCATGCTATAAAAATGTAATTATAACCAAATATGGAAGAACCATTTGTGTTATCACAGAAATCTCTGTTGTCACAGAAATTTTTAAAACTTTGAAACTAAATTTTAAAGGCACTTACAGAGCAGTCAAGAAAGACTGTCAAGCACAGAAGTATTTTACATCAGGATGAAATTTTATAAGGAAAATGGAATGGAAATATATAGAGAAACGAAAGCGATATAATATTCCTGTCTGCATTTTTTAAAGGGCTGGTGGGTATCAAATCTCAATGGCATTTAGATTATAGTAGATATATTTAAAGGAATGAAACAACAGCAATATTTTATTTTAAAATGTCAATATTTATAACATACTAGAAATTACATTCTCTACAACTATTTAAACTTTGATGAAAAACTTCAGATGTCAATCTAAAAATGTGCAAGAGGAGACACAAGCTTCATAATTCTTTTAAAGAAAACACTAGCATAAAGTTGGTAGAGTATCGACCTAGACCATTACTGAGACGTTTTTGCCTCAAGTTAGCTGATGTTCTGCTGCTTCTAGAGCTCTTGTGTCCGACAAGGCAACCAGTACATATAACGACGGAGCGCTTGAAACGTAGTTTGTCTGAACTGAGATGTGCTGTAAGAGTAAAATTCACTTGGGATTTTTAAAATTTAGTATGAAAAAGTAAATGTAACATTATCTCATTAATATTTTATATTGATGACATATTGAAGTGCTAATAGTTTGTATATATTGTGATAACTATTTAAAATTAACTGTATGGGTTTTTTAACCTTTTTAGTGTTTAAAATTTTAAATTTTTAAATTTTAAATTATATATATATATATGGTTCACATTAATTTCTATCGGCCTGACCAACACTGACGACTTAGGGATTTAGGTGGCATTTTCAGGGTAATTGGCTCCTGAGAAGTGAGCTAATTAATACCCATCAAATTGGCAAAGCAACTTCATCATTATCATGACAGTTTCACTTCGTTAAAAGGAAAACTGTTAAAAAAAAAACACCTAAAATCTATTACATGCATACACACCTTAAAATTTGTTTATACAATCAAATCCCTAGAAAAGAACCAAGAGAGTCATAAAGACCGTACCTCTCTTCGTAAAGGGGATGGCAGGCTCCGTGCTTTCAGTCCTTCCCAATTAAAACCATTTAACCACCTGAGAAATGAGAAAAGTAGAGAGGAACATTATTTGCCTGATAAACTATTATCATGTCAAGCTGCCAACCACGTTGTCACCTGCTGCCTTCCTGCAACGGTGCAGCCGCAAGTGCCTGGGAAAACACACAACCACGCGGGCCGGTCGCCTGGAATCGCGTTCCATCCATGCCCACGACCTCAGGCAGGCACCTAACGCTGCCCAGATCCTTCCGGATTCCCCTGGCCCGCTCTCTGTCACAGTCCCGTAGATCCACGATTCATGCTTGGTCCTCTCCCCCCAGACTTCCGCGTCCTCCTCCCATCCTCACCCCCAAATGATGAGCTCGCTCCCTCTTTCACTGGGAAAACCGGAGCGTAAAAAGAGAATTTCTGCAATCTCCCTCCAGCGTACCTGCCCGTCCGCCCACACCTGTATGTCGTACCAGGAGCTCGCCGCGTCTGCTCCTAGCTACGCTCACTTCCTCCTGTGCACACCCCATGGACTCTTCTCCGTGCAGACATGCACTCCTGCAACTCTCCTCTCTCCCGAATCCTCGGTGTCTTCCCTGCCGGATCATCCTCCTCAATGCAGAAATATTTTGTTTCTTCCAACAACAAAGCACCCTCCCTTTTCCCGAGTTCCCCTCCAACTCTCACTCCACTCCTCTCCTTCCACTGGAGAAAAGCTTCCCGAAAGAGTGACTTAATCACTGTGTGCACGTCCTTGTCTCCTGACCACACTGCAATCAGGTTTCACTCTCTGCACGCCACTGAATCACCTCAATTCTCAGCTCTCATCTCGCCCGACCTCCTAGCAGCGTTTGCCACAGTTCGTCACTCCGGCTTCCTGCAATGCTTTCTGCACGTGGCTTTCAGAACAACACTGCTGTCCGGGCTTTCTTCCTGCCTTCTCCAGAGCTTCCCTCATTTGCCCACTGCTGTTTCCTAACGAAGCTGGTGTGCTCCAAAGCTCAGTCCTTGGACTTCTTCTTTGTGCAACTGCTCTCAGTTTCTGGTAATCTCATTCAGTCTCGTGGCTTTAAATAGCTCTTGTATACTGATTACCCCCAAATTTCTATTTCCGACAGAGACCTCGCCATTGGTTTACGGGCTAATATCTACAACTGCTATTCGTCATCTCCCATCCAGATGGGAGCAAAAACGCTCTGGCCACATAGATTCCCCTTGCCCCACCCGAGCCAGAGCTACAAGCGTGCCCATCCCCAAGACAGTGCACACCACACCCATTAGGTGTGACTCTACCCATCTCCTCCTGCCCCATAACTGGATAGTTTTTAAATGAAAAATTAAAGTGACTGGTTCTCTAAGAAAAAAAAAAATAGAAGTTTTACTTTAGAGGAGAGTGGGAAAATCTGATGGCAAACTTGAGAAATGATTTTTTTTAATTTAAGAATATACTGGGTAGAGAAGGTATAAAGCTTAAAGACTTCTGGAAGGTTTTTAAACACTCCTTTTTGGAGGCAGAGCGAGAAATCTGTTTTCCTGGGTTTTTCCCTAGCTAGCTTTATAGCTTAAAAAGCACCATGAAAATAGGATGAAATAAAGTTTTGGAGCTCTCTGGGCTCCCATGAAGGCACGGTGGAAAGCTGGTAAACCTTCTTAGTCACCTCTGCACACCGCACTCAGACCCCACCTTACGTGTGCAAAGACAGTCTTGCCTATGAAGAAGGAATAGGCAAATTCATCCCTCCAGGGAAGGAAATTCAGAATTCTTTATTACCACGCGGAGGTGAAAAAAAATCCTTTCGCATCCATTTGCATGTGTCCCCAATCACCATTTGGCAGCAACATTTAAATGAGCCTCAGGTAAATAAGAAGAATAAGATAAAGCTGGAGCCCATTAACAATTATATCACTTTTATTTCCTAGCAACACCAGAGCCAAACATGAAGACTCTTCTTTAATGAGAGAAAAGGGGAAAGTCTATGGGAAGAATGGCTTTAATTGACAAGACACTTGTTTTCTCAATAGGAACGGTGTGTTTACGTGTCATTTTATAATGAGAAAAGAAACTGTGATAACAGCAAGCCGTGCACGAAGAAGAGAAATTGGAATCAAAGACAAATAACAAGCTTTCCAACCGAAGTCAATCCAAAGGATGATAAAGAATGCTAGAGGACTAAAAACATTTTGATGTCTGTAAAATCTACACTTAACGTCAGTTTTCTTCCTAATACGCCCTTAAGGCAGAGCTCGATAGGAATTTACAATGTTGAATACACGGCTTTATTTCAAGCAAGTTCATGAATACATAGAGCAGGGCTGGCAGCTTGGGGATTTTTTGGGGTTTTTCTTTGAAGCTGTACCACTGCTGTTAAGGAAAATGAATAGTGTTTCTATTCGGCAACGGCATCTCTGCCTTTATTTTCACACTGTGTTGATGTGCTCCTAATTCTTCAGTGAAAATATCCACAGAGGAATGAAATATTGAGAGGCATTTTCATTTCTAAAAGTGAACATTATCAGTTTACTCAAAGGCTTTCGATGATGAAATTCTCAAATGCATTTTTGTACTAGCAATGTGTAATGTATTCTTACGAGGGATATTTTTATATCTGTGAATTGAAAGCAAAAGGAAAGCACGGTGAAGACGGCAGGACTGAGCCAGGGGCTGACTCAACATCTCTAATCATCAGGGAAATGCAAATCAAAACCACAATGAGATATCACTTATCTCCAGTGAGACTGGCCTTTATCAAAAAGTCC